ATATGTGTGTATATGTATGTATATATAGATACAAAATACCATTGCTATATTCATCGTCTTAACTGGGCTAACTGACTTAGTCAGCTTACCTAACTGCTCCATCTGGACTTACCTAAGTCCCTTATCTCTCACTTACTAAGTCCATTAATTGGACTTGGCTAACCGCTCTAAGTTTGGCACTAACTTGTATAAGTCCACTATCTATATAGTAACCCCCATGATCCTTCAAGTAAACTTGGGTTCCAAACCTGGGTTAGAACCTGGGTTTCAAACCTGGGTTAGAACCTGGGTTTCAAACCTGGGTTTTAAACCCGGGTTCCAAATCTGGGTTAGAACCTGGGTTTCAAACCTGGGTTTGGAATCTGGGTTTAACCTGGGTTTTAACCTGGGTTAAACCTGGGTTCATTAAACCCGGGTTCCAAACCTGGGTTTCAAACCTGGGTTCAAACCTGGGTTATAACCTGGGTTTAAACCTGGGTTTAACCCGGGGTTGAACCCAGGTTCGAACCCAGGTTTAACCCAGGTTCAAACCCAGGTTCGAACCCAGGTTAAACCCAGGTTTCAATCCTGAGTTCCCTGGGTTGTTGTTGTTGTTCCCCCCCCCCCGGGGGAGGGAACCCAGGTTCAAACCCAGGCCCAAACCTGGGCCAAACCCCGGGGGGGGAGGGACCAGCCTCCCAACTCCAAACCCAAACCGTACAAAGCTAAAAATTCATAAAAAGAACAGAGTTCAAATGTTGGGGGCTCAAACGCGAATAAAAACAGAATCGAACACATGAAAATGGAAGGAGCTGGCGCCCCTCCAACCTCCCCGCTTTTTGTAAAACACTCCCTGCGCCTTTGACGCCTGAACCGTAAAACCTTCAACTGAAAAATTAACAAAGAGAATGAGAACAGACTTCTTTCAACAAAGCAGATGACACGAAATCGCTTTTGGGTGTGAAAAACGAACAAAATAGAAACAGAAACATGAACACAAAGGCTGCACGAAATCGTTCAGCGGGACCCGCTCTCAAAAGTCAATGTAACCTAGGTTCAATCTGGGTTCCGGATTTCTGGTTTCGAAACCCAGGTTTGAACAACTGAACTGTATTGAACGGAGTTGTTCAAACCCAGGTTTGAACCTGGGTTCGGAACCCAGGTTCGAACCCAGCTCTGAAACGCTTTCAAGCGTTCAGAAAATCATGTTATCAACCTGCTCTCAAAGAAAGCAATAGTTTGGAACAGGTTTAACCTGCGTTCCAACCCCCTCTGGGACCAGTCCGGCACAGCATAGTGCTGCAGGAAGCAAAAGAATCAGCAAGAAACATTATCTGGCAAGAGGAGCAGTTAGGCTCGCCTGTGCGTCTTGTAAGTGTTTATCAAAAGCTGGGAGCTATCAAAAACCTGCGGGCTTGTGAGTTTCCTCCATCCACGAGAAGTCATGGGCTGTCTTGGTTCATGTCTTCGCTTGTCACGATAATTGTTGTGTTTTGCGGGTTCATGAGTTCTCCGATTGATCGTAGAGCACGGTGGAGATTGGTTTCGGATTTCGGATTCATTGAGGCTTTAGTGTCACACAACTTTTGGTTCATCCAGCACCGGCGGTGTGGAGTCTTGCTTGCAAACCCACGAGAGAAGCTTTTTCTGCTGCAGGTCGCCCCATTAGAGTCCTGATCAGAGGGCCAAGTGCGCTGTCCAGGCAAGCAATATCTCTCGGCCAGCAGTGAGTGTTTCTGCTTCCTTCTTGAATCGCTGAGCGATTCGTGCAGCATCTGATTTTCGTGCAAAAACAAGCGGTCGCTTCTCGTAGAGCTGTTGTGAAGACACTGAAGTACGAAGTGCCACAAGGCTGCCAGCTTGGTTGCCACCATGCGGAACATGCCTGTCTGGGGGATGAGAGTGCGAACTAACGGTGCAGTATGCGAAATCCAGCCTTTGTTCACACTTTTGCAGGCTTCGAAGCCTATCCTTGCCTTCGAAGTCTTCAAAGCCTTCGTTCTCAGTTTCGTGTGGCTTCTTTTTTTGCCATTGGGATTGCGTTTTGCAACATTAACTTTTTTTTCTCATTTTATTTTCTTCGCAAAAGCTCCCACAAAGCGATTTCGTGTGGCTTCTTCTTCTTCTTTTCAGTTTGTGATTGCGTTTTGTTTCATTAGTTCTTCTTTCTTATGTTTTTTTCGCGAAAACCATGAAGCGACTTCACGTGTTTTTTTCCTCCTTGTGTGTGTGTGATTGCGTTTTGTTTCATTGATTCCATTTTTTTCTCATTTGGTTTTCAGCGCAAAAACCATTACAAGCGATTTTATGTGGATTATTCTTCTTTTGTGTGTCTGATTGCGTTTGGTGTCCTTAACTCTTCTTTTCTCATTGTATTATCTTCGCAAAAGCCACCATAAAGCGATTTCGTGTGGCTTCTTCTTCTGTTGTGGTTCATGATTGCGTTTTGTTTGCGTTTCTGTTTTTTCATTTTAGTTTCCCCCGCGGGGAGAGGTTGGAGGGGGCGCAGCCCCCTGTTTTCTTTCCTTTCGAGCTTTCCTTCAAGCCTCCCTTTGAAGCCTCCCCTTCAAGCCACCCCTTCCTCTCCACGCCCTTCCAAAGCTTCAAAGCCTTCCAAACCCCTTTCGAAGGTTTCGAAGCGCTCCCCTTCATCCTCTCTTCGCGCCTTCGAAGGCTTCAAAGCCTTCAAAGCCCCTTTCGAAGGCTTCGAAGCCCCCCCCTCCTTCATCCTCCCCTTCGAAGCCTTCAAAGCCACCTTCGTCCGCACTCCCTTCGAACGCTTGAAAGCTTTCACGGCCCCCTTCGAGGCTTCGAAGCCCCCCCCCCTCCATTCGCTCCTTTCGAAGCCTTCGAAGCCCTCTTCATCGCCACCCTTCGAAGCCTTCGTCCCCACCCTTCGAAACCTTCGAAAGCTTCGCCCTCCCCTTCGAAACCTTCGAAGCCTTCCTCCCTTCCGCGCCCCCCCCCCTTCGACCCTTCAGCTTCGAAGGCTTCGAAGCCCTCTTCGCCGAAGGGTCGCTGGATGCAGCTCCCGAAAATCGGTGCTGGGTCGTCTCGATTCGGCGACTCTGAAGTATGCATCTTCCGTGGGGCATCGATGCGACGGAAGCGGCTGCTGCGTGCAAGGTCTTGTGTCTAGTCTGGAGGTTCACTAGGTAGCAGTGCGAAAGATGGCTCAGAACGAGACTTTTCTGCCACGAGCGACTGCGTTGGCTCCACGAAAACATGCAAAAAACAATCCAACTTTTGAATTAAAGCCACTGTCCACCCTCGCTTTTCACGTGAACTTGTGCGAAGCTGTCTTCATTGAAACAGTGGATGTTTAAGCCTTGCCATGCCTCCTTCTCGGATTCGTTGCTGCACTTGCAGTTTCTCGTTAGTTTGCTCGGGTGATGAACCAACTTGCGTGAATCGCCAGCATTGCGGCGCCTTGACTACAACTGTAGTAAGAGGCGTGCTGGCGTCGCAAATGCGTTGCTTCCAGGCGACTATAAGTGCCCAAGGAATTGGCAGTGCCTCGCGTCTGTCTTTTGTTGTGCCCGTCACCGTCACCGAATAGGCTCTGATAACGGAGCTTTCTAATGCGTTGCTCATGCATACCCACTGCGCTTGCTTAACAAACCAACGCAGTGCTTTAATGGAGGAACTCGCTTATGCGGTGCACTTCCAAGTCCTGGCTCTGGGAGGCCCTTGCGAGCGCGAGAAAATCCAGGAGGCAGTGCAAGTTGACCTCCAGGCAGCTCACCGCGGAGCTTTCCAGAAAACCTATAAAGAGCGAGGCTATGCGACGGTACCGTTCCAGAGTACTTGGCGTATTGTTGCGAATGACTGCAAGCAGATGCTCGGATGCGTGCTTTGCGGCTGCCACCGACTGAAGAAGAAAAGATGCTGTGCTAAGTCGGTGGATTAGTTGCAGCCAAAGGGTCCCGCAATTTTGCATCCTTGATGCTGGGGAGCTTCGCATGGACTTGAAACTTGACTTTGCGGGGCTTTGGCGCTAGTGGGAGCTGAGCTGAAGGCAATGGTCGAGAGATGCATGGCTGGCCTTTGTGCGAAATCTGAAGGATTGGTTCCCTGGTGGAACCTCCCGTCAGGCTGCGAGGCAGTGGTGGCGGGGGCGGCAGCGACAGGCCACCCAGCTGTAGCTTAGGCCCAGGCTTGGACCGCTTCAATGGCGGTGTCATTTGCAGTGCTTGTGCTTTGCTGGGTGGCAACAACCAGCCAAATGAAGGGCCGGTTTTGGGGGGTTGAAAACTGCTCGAAAACATTGCCATGGACAAGGGGCCTCCACGGTTTGTGGAAGTTGTTCGTCCTCCATGTTTCTTCGCACCGGAAAACAAAAACGGTGTATTCTTCTGGCATCTTTTTTACACCAACAAAAGATTTTGTTTTTTTGCAACACTTCATTTCGCAGTTCGCATCTCCCAGCACATTCTTCCAAATTTATAAATCGGTCTTTTTGTGGACAGGTTTTGTTTTCCATTTCATTTCATGACCATTTGATTGCTAAATGACTTGAAAGCTGTTGAAGCAATTCAAGCCGAAATTAAAGTAGACTCGTGAGCGGCCCGCATGATTTTCCAATTCGCAGTTCGCCGTCAATGTCAAGTTGTGAAGTCAGAAAGTCAAACAGTGCGCAAGGGCAAAAGCTAGCCCATACGATTTTTGGCTGATGCCGTTTTTGCGGAATTTTTGCAGATGTTGATTTTGCTTCACCCGGTAATGACGGAGAATGGTGACTTGAAACGCAGCAAGCACAACAAAAAAACACGGAGTCGTCAGCGAAGCTCAACCAAGCCAATTTCAACGTATGCTCGATTTCCAGCTATCGCGAATTCCTTCAGTTTGTGCTCAAAGCAGCACAACACCACACCTTGTATCACGTTTTCAGCTTGTTCCACGTTGTTGAGATGTAATTAGGTAAAATACAGAAGTAGTGACGGTTGTGTTTCGTGTTCCATGTTTCTCTTGCATTCAAGTCGACACTTCAGTTGGTCAGCCATGGTGAGCCTGTCTTCGCAATGCAGAAACCGCGCCAGCGACACACACACCGGAAAGTGCAAGGAACGGCTCCTGCGGACGCCTCGGCTTTCTGGACTGCATTATCGGTTGCTAAAAGATCGACAGCATCGACAACAAGTAAGTTTCGGAAGTGAAGGACATGGCGGCATGAGAATGGTAATGCATGTTGAAAGCCGTGTTAGTTTCAGCCCATTGCCATACAACCGCGAAGATACGTGTGCCTTTGCCAACTTCAGCAGCAAAAGACAACTCGTGCACAGACATACCAAAGAACATGCAGTGAATGCAGTGCACCACACTTGCATTGAGCCATTATAAGTCATTATGGTAAGTGGAATTGTAACGAAAGCCTGCTCGAACTTGTGGTGAACATGAAGCCGTCGCAAGCATTTTCATGCAAACCCCGCCAAGCAGTTTTTGCTGCTAGGTTGACGCGTGTTCCAAGCGCGCGGATGCGAGCGGCTGGTGGCCAGCGGCTTTTTGGAAAGGACCAGCTTCTTCGTTGGTGGTGCCTCGGGCTTCAGATTCTTCCTGCACTAAGTTTGATCATCGGCTGTGCAGGGTAGATGCATCACGGTGGCCAAAGTTCAGTTCTGACTCCGGAGGGTCGCTTACTTTGTGACACGAGTCGACAGCCGAACCGACCTTGACACCAGTGAAAGAGTGTTGCTCACGGTGGATAGCTCTTGGACTGGAGACGTTTTGGCCGACAGGGCCAGCAGGCTAGACAGGGTCCTGCAGAGCCAAGCTTCAGATTGACATGAGGTGGGATTGCGATTTGGACAGCCGCCAAAAGCCAAGGTATTGGGACTGGCAGTATGTTGGATGACATGGACGTCGCTGGGGTCGCATGGACAAAATCCTGCCAGGCTCTTGTTGGGTTCTCAACTGTCAAAGGTGTCTAAACCTTTAAGCCTTGTACGAAGTGGGAGGAGCCAAGAAGCCGACGGCGATGCGGTGAAGGTGGGTGGCCAGCGATTCCAGCTGAAATCTAAGCTGAGGACCAGCGCTTCTTGAGAGGTGCTGGAGACGGCCGAAGATGCCCACGGACACCTCGTCGCTACAGTCTCCAATCAGGTTCCATGGGCTGTTCTGCATTGGAGTGATTCATGGATATTCCATGCTTCATGTTGCACGGAGAGGAGTTGGGCGTGAACTTCCTGACTTTCGGGTCGAGCATCATTGGTGCACAGTACGATCAAGCTGAGTTCAAGGACCAAGCTGCCTTTACTGGTTTTGCAGTGCAGGATACCGGGTGGCAGTCAGAATCATGTGACAGACTCTGACAGATGCTGGAGCTGTGCCCTCGACCAAGGAGAGCATCCTCTTCGTGAACCGCTCGCTGAGGCTTCGTGCAATTTCACCCGCAATATAGGGTCTTAGCAACGACAATCAGGGTGAGGTTTCTGGTCTATGATGCAGAAAGGCTATGGGGGAGATATTGTTGCTCATTTGAATCATTCCACCCGACATTCTCCGTTTTTGATGCTGTCAGAATGCTATGCCCCATAGGCATGTCTTGCAGCTTGGCCTGGGTGCTGGTGTCGTGGCCAGCTACTTGCGTTCCCACCGAATACAGGCTAGCTTGCTTTTGTGTGAGTAGTCAGACAGAATTTGGGCTGCATGTGATAGGCGGTTTAGTCTTGATGTCAGGTTGACGTCGTGGAGCTTTCTGATGCCGTCCTCTACTTGGCAGTGGCTTGGCCGAGTCCCTGATGTTAAGTTGCAATCAGACGAAAAAGTGGAACCTGCCTTCGGTTCCAGGTCCGTTTGGATAGAATGGAGTATATGGTCCTGCTCCTGTTTGTTGTAGGACCTTCAAACAATTCAACTTATGGATCACCTGACAAGGAAAAGCACTTTGAATTCAACTCCTGCTGCGAAGACGGGCAAGCTGCTCTCAGTGTTTCTTGCATGCACCCAGGAAACTCACTTCAGCTATCTTTTTTGCAGCCAAGCTCGGCACTCTAGTCTTGCCTCGGCCGCTGGGACAAAGGCTTGTGATCCTGCGGGGCCTTCCGCTGCGGCCTGCCGAGCTCGCACCCGGGCTGACATTGTGGTCGAATCTGAAGCCCTAAAGGCCGCCCAAAAGGCCTGAAGCCCCAAAGGCCTGAACCGTAGATCAGATATCATAAGTCATATGTTAGATACTCTATATTGCATATCATATATCGACAGATTATATCTTATATATTACTGGAAATTAGGATCTTCCCCTGTGAAGCCACAAGCCGAGGCCAGGGCAGCTCCAAGCTTTCGGAGGCCCGGAGCTTCCTCGTTCGCCAGGAAGCCACCCCAAGCGCCTCGGCCTTTGCCCACTCACTTTGGGGCAAGGCATCCGTAGGCAAAGGGCGGGGGTCGCAGCCACATCTCGGATCCGAGGGTACGACGTCGTGATCAGCGATGTGTGCCTCGACTTAGAAGTTTCTTGAGTCGAGGTCCCATGAGAGTGCTGCGAAATAACTGTGATGAAACAGGTTTAATGGCTCCAACCCTGGGCACATGCACTCAGTAGAAGTCTTCGCTCGAATCTGGGATCTGCAAATGGGCACACATTAATTTGGCTCCCTGCCTCCACGATGACCTTCATAAGACGTGAGTAATCAGGACTCAAAGATCACTGGCTGATCCCCGGCGGGATCTTGGTGCTGAATTTTGTTGGTTCCGGCCCAAGTCCGGGATATCCCCCGATCTGGCAGCGTGCTGCAGCCCTTCTTTGCTTTCAGATTGGTATCGACAAGGTTTCCACCGCGGCCCTAGCAGCCAACTGAGCTTTGATGTTGCCACTACTCTCCGCGCAGCCCCCCGGCCCGCCTTCCTTTTGATTGTGCCGGGTGCGAGACGGTGCTGTCGTCCCATGGCCCACACCCTTCAGGTGTTCCAGGTTGCGCGCTGCTATCGGGATCAGGGCCTGGAGGAGGAGCCGGACATGGCCGCGAATCTGGCCAGCGCCCCAAAAAGAAAGTCAGGTGACTTCGGTCGGAGATGTGCTTCGATGTGCTTCGAGGTATGCTTTGCCTCGGATGATGACTTCCGCTTCAATGTCCCTCAGAGTGGCGACTTCTCGAATCCAATCCCGCCCTTCGTCAGGAACCTTGTGCTGTTTTCGAACTTGTGACGCAACGTCCCCAGCCATGTGGCCCAAACTGCCAGACATTGGCATGGACTTCGCGACTATAGCACCTGTGCGAGTCAAGTCAAGAACTGATGCCTTAAAGTGCTCCGGGCGGCTGCTTCTCTTGACAAGAGCCCCACGCATTACGCCCAGCAGAAACACCCGTCTTTGAGGTTGTCGAGCTTTTGGGTGATGCAGGAGTTCCAGGCTTGGGAGGCCGTGGGACAAATCTGTTTGCGCCTGACTCATGACTCAAATTCTGGTTCCATGGCCGAAGCTGAGAGCATGTCTGCAGGTCTTGAAGCCTCTGACCCGGACAGCGGGCCGCATCATTCAGGACTCGATGTTGCGGGTGGTCCGAGATTTCCGTCGGTGGCGGACTGCCCGAAATAAAACTTTTGACTGCAGCAGCAGGACTCCGACAACGAGCTGCTGCATGCGGGCGCACAGTCTCAGATCGAGCTGCAGCTGCGAGCTCATGCGCGGTGTCTTGGCGGAGATGGACGATTTTCCAGTGCTTTGGCACTGCAGTCTCGGCTCCGATCCGGACGTTCGTCATCATCAGCTGTATGTGTCTTCATCACCCTTGAGTTAAGGAATCTGATTCCCGAACATGTGACGCGGCGGCATCTGGTTGGTCAAGTTATGCGCGTTGTGACGCTGTACACACGCTCTGCGTCTAGAATCTAGGACAGGCTTCGAACTAGCTGTTTCAGGTCTGTATGTGTCGTCATGGCATGGCAGTGTAGTTTCCAGCATTTCTGCGGTCTCTCACCAGCCAAGGTCTGGAAAGCCTTGGGGATCGCGACCTGATGATGCCACGCCGGACTGGCCACGTCGCGGAAAGCAATGGCTCAAAGACAGCGGTCAGCAGCATGTTGATAGTCTCGAAGTGCACATCCGACACGAGAATGAGCTCGTGAGTCAAGAAGTCACTCGCCCGTTCTTGGCTCAGTGCTCCGGTACCGTATCGTTTCCGAGGAGGTTCGAGTCCGGGCCATGGCCCCAGATGGCCCCAGCTCAGGATGCCCAGAGGCCCTCGGTTTTGGGTTCGATCTTGTTCTGCGTTTGAGGTGAGGTTGTGCCCGTGATGAGCAAGAGGAGGATCCCGAAGATGAAGCGTCTGAATCGGAAGGTTTGCCTGACGCGCCCGGATTCTTGATTCCGTCACAGGACCCTCTTCGCACTGCTGCCCTTGCCCCGTGCTCAAGTTGTGTTGTTGAGCCCGCACGAATCTTCTCAGTTCCACAACAGTTGCTGCTCGAGAAGTCTTCGTCTACAGGTTCGGCCTTCTCCATGCAGCTCAGCTGGATGCCAGTCTGAAGAGAAAAAAGGGCGACGACCCTTTTCTCCTGAGGCGACCGGGAGCAAGATGTGAGTGTCTGCACTTCGACTTGTGATTTGAGCTGTTTGTTCGGCCTAGAGTCTGGCAGAAGCTGCAGAGAAGGGCCCAGTACCCGAAAGCGGCGCGGTCTGGAATGTGCCAGGTCAGAATATCCAAAGACAGAAGTCCACACAGCAGGGGCCTGATCTGTCTCAGCCTGGTACAGTGGTTGCTGGCCGTGTCGTGGCAGGTGGAGTTGGATTACAGCAATGCCCCACCGCTTTCGCCGGTGGACCAGACCATCGCACGGCCACCCACCGTGAATGGCGACCCGTACAGTGAGCCCGCCGGAAACTTATGCAGCGTTGAATGCCGGACAGACTTGTGACGGATTTGTACTGCTGGCTCAAGGCTCAAGCCTGGGATTGCCGCGGTAAAGCATGTAATGGCGGCATGAAGCTGGTCCTATCGTGCAAGAAATACAGAGCCAGTCAGTGCTTCTGGTGCCTATAGGGCCGGGCACTGGAGATCCGTTTTGCGGAGAAGAGCTACTGCTGTCTAGCTTTTCACGGACAAGGAAAGCACTTTAGGTTCTCTTTGCCTGTGTCGTGTCATCATGGCGCTCTTCCTGATGAGAAAATGGGAGGACACAGTGCAAAGGGTTCAGAGTCTTCGGCAAGCGGTGGCCGAATCCACTTGGAAGCTTCGTCAAGTCGAATTTACTCATTTGCGTCCCCTGGAAGAGTGCTTGACGGACTGGGCGGGTCTCTTCGCTGGCCTCTCTCACATGCGCGGCGAGCTGCAGGGCATTTCACGAGCCTCGGTCATTGCAGTGGCCTTGGTAGGCTTGAAGGCTGTGCGTGTTCTGAACCGCGTAGTGGACACAGCCTTGAAAGAGCTCCTCAAGCAGCAGAGCTTCCTGTCCAGGGGCCTTTTCCTGTATGCTGCAGGCTCCGGCTGGGCAATAATGTATGCCTACTGGGGGACGATTACCGAGCGTTTGAATGCTGCGCGTGAGCGTGAGAGACTGCGTGAGGGCAGTCACACGGGTGATTTGGAGAATCGGGCCGAGTGGTTGGTCCAGTTAATCCACAACCTGAAACGTCTTCCTGCCTTCTTTTGGTACTCAAGCATGGTCTCCTGCCTCGTGTCACTGCAGATAGGGCAGGCCTTGGTTGTGCGGTCCATGAAGCGTCTCGCCGAATCCTCCGCCGGCACTCGGCTGCTGCCACTTCTGGGGCTTGGCCTTTTCTTTTTCGCTGACGTTGCCAACAAGCGCACCGAGCATATCGTGCACGAGGTGGCGGAGGACGGACGCACTTTAGCGTCACAAGGGGAAGGCGAAGGAGACGCGGAGAAACAGTGTAGCGAGACCCAGGACACATCGCGCTTCAGAGAAGTGTAAGACTTGCAAGAAAAGTGTCAGCTGAGCACGAGAGGTCGTGACTGTGGGCCGTTTTCCATTACCTTACGACGCCCTGCTGTTTGCAAGCTGTGTCCAGGTCAGACGTGCCAGTTGCAGAATGAAAATGACCATGCGCCGCCTTGCAGCTCAAAGCAGCCGCACCATTCCTGATGAAGCGACAGACATCGAAACTGGCAGGGCTTTGTGAGGTGCCGGCAAGCACGTTCTGCTCTACGAGCATCAAGCACAAAGTTTTGAAAAGGGAAAGCTGCATTGACTTAACGAGGGGGTTATGCCTGCTTTAAGCTCAGGTCTGGGTGGATTCTTCCTCCATGGCTCAAGGTGCGAGCATGGGGGGGCTTCTGCTTGCGTGCCCTGTCCGGCAGGTCATTTCATAGCATGGTGCCACATTGATAGAGTTCTGACATGGTCTTGCACACCTTTCGTTTGTGAAACCCCTGCTCTCTCGAACCTCCTGGACCCATTTCGCATCCGCCGGCTTTTGCAGCTGCAAGCATCCGACCCCACGGCGCTGCTCACAGTGTTTTGAAAATGGGGAATGGCTTGTGTGTGTCACAAGCTGATGTGGTGGACTTCCCACCTGTGCACGAGACCTTCTATCCAATGTACGTTGTGAAGGCTCTGCAATTTGGGATGTCCGGCTATCCCCACAGCCACGTCTTACCTAACTTGTTTAATTACCCGACAGATCGATGTCTTGCACTGTCTCACATCAGCCCCAAGCCCTGTCCTTCGAGGTGTCCGACTTCCTGGAAATGGAAGGTGTGCCCGAGCCTCACAGTGTCCTCCTCTCCGGAGGGCTATTGCATCAGTGGAGCCCCGGCATGTTTGTTCTATTTGTAAGCCATCAGTGGTTGGGAGCCACGCATCCCGACCCGCACGGACAGCAAGCCGCAATCCTGCGACACACGCTGCATGGGATGATCAGCGGGTCCTTGCACGTCGAGGAAGACTTGATATCCATGCCAATGGGAAAGGAAATGTCGCCGCAGACACGAAAGCAGATTGCAAGTGGGTACTTGTTCCTGGATTGGTTTGCGATCCCACAGATTACTGCTAGGCAGGCGGGTGTGAATGAGGACGTGACAAGGACAGATGCTGCTTTGGCGGTGAAAAGTACCTCGACCCCAAAAGTCCACCTCTTCGTTTTTTCCCGCCCTTCTCCTACAGCTGGGAGCTGTAAGCCCTTCGTATGTTTTTTTTACGTTGCACCTAAACCATCCTAAACCCGAAGCTCTAAACCGAAGGTATACCGTCATATGTGGAGCTTTGTAACCTTTTCGTGGCTCTGGTGCCCGAGCTCGTGCACACGGACACCAAAGTGCTCTGCAAGCACATGGGGGTTTCCGGAAATAGGGGGCCCAAACATAGTGCCCGAAATCCTTACTATAGGGACCCCAAAGTAAGGTATCCCTATTTTCGGAAAGTCCCACATGCTTTGTCGGGTGACAGAGAGCTCATCAAAGTACCAAGTGTAGACTTTCGGGCATCCAAGGTGCTCTGCAACTACACATCGTGGCTGTCGCGAGGTGAGGGTCCCTCAAAACTTACATTCACCATGAGTCCGGTGTTTGAGTTTTTGCATAGAGTGACGAGGGCACTGAATTTGACCATCAGGTTGGTGTAGGGCCGAATGGTGGTGTCACCTGCTCTCCAACAAAGCGGACTCTAGCGTGATTGTGGTCTACTCACCGCGAGAAGCGGAGTTCATGTTCCCTCTGAATTGGCAGCAGCACCTGGTTCGCGAGGGCAACTTTACCGTGGAGAGCCCCTCAGTTTCAGAAATCATGCCAGCAGACCTGCCAACTGCCAGGTGCAGGCTAGCGTAAACCAAAACCTTGTATAGAACAGCACAAAAAGCCCTGACCTAAAGCCTAAACTTTAGCCCTAAACCCAATACGAGCACCCAAACCTTCAGCCTTGCTGCGGAGCCCAGGCGACCGCGAGACGGTGGTGAAGCTCGGGGAGGTGGCTCTGGACAGCAAAATCAAGCACCTGGCAGCAGCCGGGCCGCTGAGCCTCTACCGCCGCTTGGGCAATGAGCAAAACGCTCCATTCAGTTCTGTAGCCGGAGAGAAGTAGGGGTTTGAAAATGCACTCCATGTCCAAGGCTACTACCTGGCGCATCGCCCGAAGTTACTGGGTCAGCAGAAACAGACCTTCGAGGTGGACGACCTCCTGGAGATGTTTCGCTACGAGAGCCTGCAGGCCCCTAGCTGAGCCGCACCACCCACTTCTAGCCGCTTCAGGGTGTCCGAGAGCGATAGCCAGGGGGATGGTCTTGTTTGGTGTAAAAGAGTCTGCGAGAAACTCCTTGGATGTCTCACAGGCTTACACTTACACGTGCGACTGTCCAGTCCGGTGACTTCTCGTCGTTCGGATCTGTTGCATGATCTTGACTCACTTCAGTGGTCATGACCCTTCTCAGGATGCCGTCAACGACGAGAGCAGTGTCAATGCCCTCCTCTGTGCCATTTTTGCCGGAGACGTCCAGATGGTAAGACTGCTCGTGGAGCACAAGGCAGATGTGAATCGCAGACTGATGGGCCTGAATTCGCTGGGCTACTCCGATACTCAGACGATGCTTATGGCCGCCATCAAGTCGCATCAAGATCCAGACATGTTGTCGGCTCTCATCGAGCTTCGCGCTGATGTGCAAGCAACCACAAGGGTTGGACTGGGATGTGCATACTTGGTGCGAGCGCCGGGTCAGCTTAAAGTTCTCATTGAAGCCAAGGCCGATCTGCATACATCACATCTGCCTATGGGGTTAAGCCCACTCTGTGGTGCTGCCGTGTGGTCTTGCCCAGAGACCGTCGCGGAAATGCTGCGTGCACGCTGCGATCCTAATCCGAAGCCAACTGGCGCAGGCTATTTTCCCCTGCATGCAGTTGCGCTGCTGTCTCGAGGCAGAGCCTGTGCAGTGGATGTTGCGAGGGTGCTGCTGGAGGGTCGTGCAGATCCGAACGCTTGCGCTCTTCCCGAAAGCAAATTCTTGTTTGCAGCCCGGCTAACGGGCATGTACTCGAAAATATTCGGCTTCGCATCCTGCTCGATCGCCACAAAGACTTTGGCGAGCTTGCCTGGTCTGACTCCACTGGGTGCAGCTGCGTTGGTTGGGGATGATGCATTGTGCAGAACGTACCTGGAGTACGGAGCGGAGAACATTGCTAACGACAGAGGCGATTTGCCAGAAGACGCTTGGCTCGATTTGATGCTGTTGGCATGCTGTCGTAGAGCTAGCTGGCGGTACTGAGCATCTGCATAATGAGGACCTGGCGCTTGCAAACGCGCATGACCGTCTACTGCCCATGCTTTCAACGTTTGCCGTGTAGTTCCCTGAGCGGCGAATGTCGCTCTGATATCGGCAATTCGTGCCACAGAGAGCGAAAACGTCAGCGAGGTCAGTTCATCCATGGGTGCCCGTGGATGCAACAGAGTCTCGAATCTAGTGTCGGTAGGGGCTCCATGGTAACGGCCTTGTTTTCGTCACAGCTGTCGAACCCTTCTAGTACATCTACAGCATCCCTTCTGGTAACCCTTACAGACCACAGATTTTCTTTTCAGGTTCTGAAAGCCAACATTCATTTATCAGACTCGGACGGTCCTGTGGTTAAACTTGAGCTTTTTCAGACCTCTAGCTATCCACCACCTTCCTCCCAGAGCATTTTGGACCTGAACCCCCATCAGACAGCCATATCATGTAATTCTAGTCCGCGAAGACCCGCGTAAGAGCAAGTTTTCGCAAACCAGCAACTGCGACAGCCCGACTTCACCAACTTCTGCTTCCAAAGCCTTGGCATCCAGAATTCCCAGAACCTCCTTGGCACCAAACCTCAACAGTCTCAGGCGAATCCCAGCTTTCGAGCTTGCAGAGTTCCCTTAAACCCTGCAGGGAGGAGCCTAAGCAGTTCAGGGTCCTGGCCCTTATGGTCACTGGTAACTCTTCAAGTCGATACTTGTGGCGCTTGTAGGCTTATGGTAAAAAGTTTCTTCTGAGGTTCGCAGTGGGGATAAGAATCCCAAGCTTACTCCCAGGCAGTCCCCTGGAAGCTGACGAGCTCCACCCAAAGTCTGGAGACCCATCGTCTTTCGTCCTGATCCTGTTAACCTAGTACACCCAACAGCTAAACCCCAAAACGAGCATTCTCCAATGTCTGACGTCTGGGAAGGCGGTTCGGCCTCTTCCAGCTCTTCCAACGCTGGCAGTTCTAGCACGGCTCCTGGATGGGAGCCCGAGTTTGTGATTAGGACCTTGGTCAGAACTGAAGAAAGGCGCGCCGACGATCTTTGCTATCAGATCTTAGCTTAGCTCTTTTCTACTGGCCGCAAGGTGCATCTTCAGCCTCTGGGACAGCGTCAGCCAACGAGACCAGCTGGCGACCCGGACGTCGCGGCAGAAGTCTTGTCCTTCAATGCGCTGCGGTCAGTCAGCGTCTTGCTTTCCGTTTCCTTTGGCTGTGCGGACCGCGCGATGTTCGCATCAGGCGCCTCCTCGGGTTCATCAGCGGCCAATGAGACTAGCTTGTTCCCCAGCGACTTGGGAGTCCAATTCGTTGCAGCAGAGGCAGTGGCAGTCGAGCGGTGTAGTGATGGTTCCCTTCATGGATTAGACGAGATTTGCGAAATTTGTGAGACTCAGTGCAGACCCTGTTCAGTCGAGGGGTATGGCGGACCTCAGCTGGTGAACTGTGGGCCCAAGGTGCGTCGGACGCAAGTGCGAGCGAGCAGAGCTCAGGTGATCGTCTCAGAAGTGGTGCGATCAGCAAAGTTGATCTCCCTGAATTTGTCGCAAGATAGTCCGAGGTCCTAGGTAGTATTAGGGAGACCCCTCCAAGGGGACTCTTCTTAACCCGATTTCTGGCTTTCTTGAAAGGAACCCTATTGAGAGGGTCTCTATCCGCAAGGGTCCCCCTAATCGTAACTCCTAGTTAGCCAGCAGCTGCCCTATGAAGATGGAGGAGATGCAAGCAATCGTCGTACCCAGGGTCTGCTGAGAAAGTCATGCAGCGAGCTACTCTTCTCAACTGCCGACTTGTTTCGAGTCTAGGGGCGAGGTTGGCCAGGTGCCTCGCAAGTCATAAGTCCAGTCTTACTTGTTATCGTTTGGGAATAGTTTCACCGTTTTTCCTTGCAGCTAGGTCTTTCAGCCAATCATAGTCAACCCATCTCCGCTTCACTGTAGCTATTCCGTCCCAATCATCGCTATTCCCTTTGCCGTTTTCGAGTTGGACTCCGATCCATGCCACAAGGCACATCTTCGGCCTCTGGGACAGCGTCAGCCAACGAGACCAGCTGGCGACCCGGACGTCGCGGCAGAAGTTTTGTCCTTCAATGCGCTGCGGTCAGTCAGCGTCTTGCTTTCCGTTTCCTTTGGCTGTGCGGACCGCGCGATGTTCGCATCAGGCGCCTCCTCGGGTTCATCAGCGGCCAATGAGACTAGCTTGTTCCCCAGCGACTTGGGAGTCCAATTCGTTGCAGCAGAGGCAGTGGCAGTCGAGCGGTGTAGTGATGGTTCCCTTGATGGATTAGACGAGATTTGCGAAATTTGTGAGACTCAGTGCAGACCCTGTTCAGTCGAGGGGTATGGCGGACCTCAGCTGGTGAACTGTGGGCCCAAGGTGCGTCGGACGCAAGTGCGAGCGAGCAGAGCTCAGGTGATCGTCTCAGAAGTGGTGCGATCAGCAAAGTTGATCTCCCTGAATTTGTCGCAAGATAGTCCGAGGTCCCAGGTAGTATTAGGGAGACCCCTCCAAGGGGACTCTTCTTAACCCGATTTCTGGCTTTCTTGAAAGGAACCCTATTGAGAGGGTCTCTATCCGCAAGGGTCCCCCTAATCGTAACTCCTAGTTAGCCAGCAGCTGCCCTATGAAGATGGAGGAGATGCAAGCAATCGTCGTACCCAGGGTCTGCTGAGAAAGTCATGCAGCGAGCTACTCTTCTCAACTGCCGACTTGTTTCGAGTCTAGGGGCGAGGTTGGCCAGGTGCCTCGCAAGTCATAAGTCCAGTCTTACTTGTTATCGTTTGGGAATAGTTTCACCGTTTTTCCTTGCAGCTAGGTCTTTCAGCCAATCATAGTCAACCCATCTCCGCTTCACTGTAGCTATTCCGTCCCAATCATCGCTATTCCCTTTGCCGTTTTCGAGTTGGACTCCGATCCAAGCCACAAGGCACATCTTCGGCCTCTGGGACAGCGTCAGCCAACGAGACCAGCTGGCGACCCGGACGTCGCGGCAGAAGTCTTGTCCTTCAATGCGCTGCGGTCAGTCAGCGTCTTGCTTTCCGTTTCCTTTGGCTGTGCGGACCTTCCCATAAGGCGCCTCGTCGGGTGCATCAGCATCAGAGACGAACGAGACTGGCTGACGAGCTTGCTCCCCAGCAGCTTGTAGAGCTTGTGCGGTGTTGATTTTTGGTTACAGCATGTTCTCACAGCTTATTCGCTTCGCAAAAGTGCGAGCTTTAAAATACCGAGTGGCCCCGACAAGCCTTGTTTCCCTCGTGCCTCGTTTTCCTGTCTCTCGGTCCAACAAGCGTAAGTAATGCCGCAATCCTGCAAAGTCCGCACGAGCAGGCCGTAGTTTCGGGAGAATCAGATTCTGTGGATTTCGGAGTACTGTGTCCGTGGTGACTGGCGTGCGCCAAGGGTTACTGAAGGGCTACCACAAAGCTTACGTACATATTCGGGTTTAGGCATTACTAGTACTACAGTTACAGGGTTGCTACAGGGGTTACCACAAAGTTTAATACACGGGGTTACTGGAACTGCTGCTACAGGGTTGCTATAAGGACAAGGATTAGGGTTACCATTTTGTGATTCTGTTTCGAAGGCTGCATTGGAGTACGAGACACAGTGCAATGTGCAGCAATGTGCCCAAGGTCTCCAGATTGAAGCAGCAGCCGGTCAAAGTGAGGCCGCACGTTGTCGGAAAGGAAGCTGGAGGCAAAAGAAAGCAACAAGAGTAGTTTCCTGGCCACATTTTCCGATCATTTTCCCGTGTGCATCCAACATGGCCTAATGCAATCGTGCGTAGTCAGCGTTGGCTTAACAGCAGGTTGATTGAGGTTACCAAGACTCCGCGGCATTGTACTCCAACGAAGCAGCTGGTGCAGAAGCAAAAGCCGACACCCTCCCGAGCCGCTCAGCTCGCCATTTCCACCCAGCCCCAAGGCCCGAGAGCCCAATTTCGGGTGATGTCGCCATGGCCCCGGGCCCACCGAAGGCGCTGAAGTCACTCCATGCGGTGGCTCGGCCCGAGTCAGAGCACATCAAGGGCGCCAGGGTAAGGACGTCATGGAAAGCGCATCATAGCTTAATGCAGGGGACTTTATGCAGTGCTGAATCCCACGAGTATATCGGGCTTGGTGTTTCAGGCCATCGACCTGGTCTGGAAGGCGCCCGGCTAGACGAAACCGCAGAGCTATAGACATGCGCGTTGCTGTTGTGCCGCCACGACCGCTACCACGAACACGCCGGCCAACAGTGCACCTCAACAAGATGATCAGTGTTCACAGCAGAAACATGGACAAATGACAAATGTAGCTCCCACGGTCAGGATCCAGCTCGCAAGGATTATGCGCTGAAGGCTGTAGCGGTGCCGGGTGCCCGAGCCATTTCGCAACAGCGTGTTCGCTTTCGGACAGTCCGGGGCTTGGGGTTTCGCTTGCGCTTGGGCTTACGCGGGCCTTGGACAATGTGTCTGAAAAGGCTGTTGGGGAAGGCTTGCCTGCATGTCAATGTAATGCATGGAGCCGTGGCGTGACTTGCCACGTGTTTATGTATCTACACCTGTATCTCAAGGGCTGCTGACGAGTAGTCTCACTTGTGGACTTGCTCTGCGTGACAGAGAGAGAGAGAGAGAGAGACACACCTGTCTCTCGGTTCATCCAGGTTCCATGCTTCAAGGACTGTGTGTATCGATATCTGTATGAATCTACCATCTATTTGTCTGTCTGCTTATCTGTGTATCTTATGTATCTACACACAATATACACATGCTATATACGTATGCTCCTCTGTTCTGGTATGTCGGTACATCTTTTGGTTTATGCATGTCACAGCTTTCCTCTTGTTGCCTTCCAAGCCGAGGCATGGGCGTGCGTTGCAGTTCCTGTCCACGGAGCTAAGAGCAGACAAGGAGGCCATTGCACACTTCGTGGAAGTGTTAACTGGGTGTGGACAGAAGGCGGCCGAGCAGAGAATCGGAGATGTTGTTCCGGCCTCGTGCAGCGCATCCGTCTGAGCTCGAGCTGCAGGTCGTCTTGAAGGCGCTGAAAAGCGATGGCTGGGCTCTTCAGTGGGCTGCCGAGGAGCTTAAACCGAAGCTTTTCGAGTTTGCATCAAGTGGCCGATGCTGCGCAGAGGAGCTCCGAAGAGACAAGGAGGTGATTTTCAAGGCAGGAGACTGGGTCTTTAGTTAGTTTCCTGCATCTCGGAAGTGGGATGTGCCCCTCTGAGAATTTGGAATGGTCGGTGTCTAAAGCGGCGTTGGCGTGGAAGGCTGCAGAGCCGTCTGCCATGTAAACGCGAGCCGTGCTGACCCTGCAGAATGCTAGAAGCCCGAAGAAGTGCCGCATCTCCTCGCTGCCGGGTTCTGGCAGGCCCTGAAAAAGGAGGTGCGCTCCTTGCAGTTTGTGGCGGAGGAGCGTGGAGGGACCGAAGAGTTTGCTGTCGGGGTTCCTATATGCTTATATAGAACATAGTAGTGTATTGTTACATCACAGTAGAATAAATAGATTTAATGTAGTAATCAGTAGTTTATTGTTACATTACAGTATAGCAAAGCTTAATATAGTTGTTTTATGTAGTACAGCTACTATATGGATGTAGCAGTAGTTTATTGCTACGTTACAGTATAGCAAAGCTTTATGTAGTTGTTTTATGTAGTACAGCTACTATATAGATGAAGCAGTAGTTTATTGCTACATTACAGTATAGCAAAGCTTAATGTTTTATGTAGTAGAATATTCGAAGCTGCCAGGAGCTGCTGAGAGACCGAGACTTCTGCCTCGATGCCATCTCTAAAAACGGGCTGCATTCTCGGCTTTTCGGAGGTTCTCTCGAGAGCACCGGGGAGTGGTATATACGTTTCGAAAAAATGATATCATATAACACATATACATACATATATATATATATATACACACACATTATTTGTGAAGAGTCTTGGAGTCATGTTGGGCTCAGGTTGGCCTACGAGTTCGCGGATCCGGAGGTCAAAGCAGACCGCGAGGTGTCCTGCAAGCACAAGAGACGTGGCTTAGGAAAGATCAGCATGGCTTGGCAGGTCGCCCGAGCTGCTGTGTGTCAGGACTGCCAATAAATCTTTTCGGACCGACGAGCTCACTTCCCTCTTGGGTCGAGATGTCGCTGGGTTGGCAGGATGGTCTTGCGCTGGAGTTTGTTCCGGAGCAGTTCCAATCGGACCCAGAACTAGCTCCTCGGCGTTCATGCCAGCGCAAGCGCATCAGCGGCGGATCCGGACGGCATTGCTCGCAGACCCCTTTGCAGGTTCTGAGGGCGGTGCAGAACTGCGGCCTGGCTCTTCGCTTCGCCTCGCCGGACCTGCGCGGCAACAAGGGCCTCGCCAAAGACTCGAACTAGTGGGCTCGTTGGGTCGCGGGGGGGCGGGGGGGCGGGGGTGTCCGTGTGCTGCAGAGACTCCTCGGCTCAGATTCCGAGGTCATGACTGCCGCGAAGCAAGATAGCTCGGCTTTCAAGTTTGCCTCACAGGCCCGCAAACTGCCGCACCCCCCGGCTTTCTCTCGGCTTTTGCGGTGTCGCCTTGCAGGAACTCCAGCAGAACCGTGACGTCTGGCTGCAGGCCTACTTGTATCTCTGTATGTCAAGCTGCGCTTTGCATGACTGGAAGCGGTCAGTACGGTCGTGCGGCGACCTTGTGCTTTGTGTGCAGATTCCAACTTGCGGGGCATGGGGCACATTGTTCCACGCCGCTACCTGATGTGCAAGCGTGTGATTGGAGTGAATGTAGAACCATCCAATCAACAGTCACAGGCAGCAATCACACTTGCGGCCCACGAGCGAGGGGAGACTCTGGAGTAGTCGATGTTGACAGGTCTGCCCGAGCCGCTTGGGGCATTGGCAGAACCGCAATGAGGTCCTGCAGGAAGTGGAGAAGGAGGCGCTCTATGGCTTTGCCATGATGCTTGTAGACAAGTCCGCATAGACTCACTTTCAGTTCCTGCGTCGTTCAGAGGGCTTGCTGCTCCAGCTCGCCAACCAGCGCTTGGTCAGCCAGCCGGAGGCGCTCCGTTGTCCATAATTACAGTATATATATATATATATGCATTATATAAATTATAGTATATATATATATATATATTATATATATATATATATATATATATTATATATATATATATAGAATTGCTATTTTTGGGTTCCTTATAATATGCTTTTGTGCCACGGGGTGGGGGGAGCTCGAGAGCAGGTGATGTTCAAAGCGGCTGCCGGATCCTCAGAGAGGGAGACACACAGATACAATGAAGTTACCAACCAAGTCAAGCGTTGCTAGTATTGTGATGCGACGGAACTACTCTAAGAGGAGAGGAGTGAGCAGAGCAGCAAAGAGCAAAAGATCACCTCCGTCCCAGTGCCGGCATTCTCGCATCCACTTTCAGCCACATTCCTCGATTCGAGTTTTCATGTTTCCGGCTCTGCACACCAGGCAGTGCATTCAATTCTTGCTTGCCTGTGATTTTCTGACTTGTGCGCTTCCCTCAGCTCAGGTCAAAGATCATCATACCCTGCAACATGCGAGCCCTGAGATCTGCGCAGACGTGGATTTTCTGCTGCGCTTGGTCAAAGAGGCCGAACTTCTGGCCGGGCCATGGGCCATGCAATATGCGTCAGCCAATCCAAGATGACTTCCTGACTCATGCAACCTCCACTGGCCGAAGCCAGGATGTGCGTGCCCTGACGTATGCGGCAGATGAGATACGCGCCGACAGAGAGGCATCGGATGCATGTGGCAGTTGACCCGTCGGGTAAATTTTGATGCAGAGTAAGACTTTCGAAGTAGGATTAGTACAGAAATCCAGTCACCGATTGCTGTGTGACAGGGTGCACCCGCCAGGTTGCACTGAAGGCAACCGCTATCGACGGCAGCGCGCTGCAGTTCTTCACGCAGGACAAAAACACGGAGACAGCGGATCAACGCAGTGTGTCGCTCCCTGCCACTACTCATGTCGGCCCCTGTTGTATCTCAAAGGTGAGCCTTGTAGGCTTGTAGGAGCCGTCAACATTCCAATTCAAGCATGGAAGCATCGTTTGAAAGCTTTTCCAGCACTACATGTCTTTCAGTGTGAGGAGCTCTGCGAGGACAGGGAAGTGGCCAGAAGCTTAGGCTTGCCGTGAAAAAACGCGGTGGTCGATGCGCTTCACTTTTTGATGCACGATGGGGCTTTGGTTGTTTAGGGTTTAGGGTCTATATTTGGGGTTTGACGAGGAGGTGTTATACTGAGATCAATTGGGGATGGTGGTGGGTTTTGCGGTCGTCTTGGCAGTACTTGGCATCCTCTATGGCACGCCGCATCCCACCTTTGCTTTCGCCCCGAATATGATATAATGCCATGTGATTTAAACGACTTTGCCATAGTGCACTATCATCCACTATCTATTCTATATACTGTATCAGAATGCACCATATGATATATGGGCTAATATACTGTCATGTACTGTAAAAATATATTATCCTATATAGTCGTTGGCATTGAAGTTCCCAGGTGCTCACAGCCGTGCGGCACACGGGTACTGCCCTGGCCTTCGCCGCCGCGGAGCTGCGGGCCGACCGAGAGGCTGGGCTGTGCGTATATTCGATGTTAAGAGGATCAGAAGGTATCATATCATGTTACATTAAGTCATATTGCCTTGTGCTCCGTTGTGCTACATTTTCGTACGTTGTAGTACGTACTTAATAGTACATAATTACATACTATAACATTATGCTGCATTATATTGCGATGTATCGCACGATGTCAGACTGAATTGCAACATATTGCGTTGGAGTAAGGAGTACACTAGATTACCTTACGTAATGTTTTATTACTTTTTACGGTATGATAGATAGATATATATATATATATGTGTGTGTGTGTGTGTGTGTTTCACCGTCACTGCTTAAGGCTGCTGTCAATCGAAAGTTACTCTGGAAACTCGACCCGTCGCAGCCAAAACTCTCTGAGATAAGCCCTGTTTCAGGTTGTCCTCGCCGCAATGGCCCAGAGCCGCACTGCACTGCTCTTTGCGGCCGAGGAGTTACGGCGGGACAAGGCCTTAAGCGCACAGGGCATAGCGAGGAATGCACCCAAGATCAGGAGTCGAGCGTGTCAACTTTCACCAAGAAGTTGAGGTCTGCAGGATCAAAAGTTTGACCGTTCGTGCTGGTGCGTGGTCTGGGAGGCGATGTGGCTGTACAACGGCGAGGAGCCGCCGGTCTTCGACCCACCACCCGACGAGGAGCAAGAGGTGCCTTCAGGGCAAAGCAGGTGGCCACTGAAATATACTATACCATGCCATGCCATACCATACCGCACTTTACTACACTATTCTGTATTAAATACTGTGCTATACTATCTCATACTTCAAAAATATCGTACTATGTACTATACCATAGAATGCTCGCAGCACTGCGCTTCAGGCCGCCGATTCCGCCGAGGCCGCCGAGACCCAGGCAGAGGCTGCCGAGTCTGCCGGCGACGGCCCGGAGAGCCGGGCGGCCGAAGGGGCAGAAGCTTCAGCCTCAACTTAGTATACTGCAGCGTATGTAGTATATCATGGTATCTTAAGCTCTACTACCGTATCCAAAATTGATTGCAGTATCTTGTAGCATCTTACAGTCTAGTTTAAGACATGCCCAAGTTCTGCTATAGTATGCTTTAGTATGTTATCATACATCATAACCTAGGGTGGTAGGTTATAGTATGTTATAGTACGGTCTGTGAGGCAATACATGGCCTATTTCCTAACTTCTGCGATGTCCAGAGAAAGCCGAGCTCTGGTGCCATGTGAAGTATTGTGAACAGTGTTGCAGTGACAAGCAGAGGAACAGAATAGAGAGATATAGCTATAGGTATAGATATAGATAAAGGTCATCGGACCTCAGGGTTCATGTACAAATACTGAGCCAGTCTTCACGGTCGCTGCATGCCGCTTCGAAGCTCAGTTTGACAAGTCAGTTCGTCGTTGCTCCGTGCCGTGCAGTGCATAGAGGACGGCTCAGCATGTCTCACCAAAACTGGCCATGAAACTTGTGGCCGGTGCAAAAGGTCAGTGAGCTCTGGTGAACTCTTGCATGGTTGCCAGGCTGTTCAGTGATATGTGTATATATATATGTATAAATACAGATATAGACACATACATATACGCAGGCAAGTATCCAAGTAATGACCGGCATGTTCTTTGCTAACGACGCAAGCTTTTGGGGCCGAGCGCATGTCCAGGGATTTTGCCTTGTCGTCTGTGTCCGGCGTGTCGAGTGCCTCCGTGGTTTCGCTCCTCTCCCACCTGCTCACCACTTCTTCCCCGATCATCGATCCCTGTCCTCTTTGCCCGGTGTTGCCCGAACTGGATTGGGCTTCGTTCTTCTTGGGCCTGGGCTTTGGGGTGCTGCTGCTTCCGGTGTTGGAAGCGTTGCTGCTGATCCGTGCAGCTTGCCTCCGGCGTCTTGCTCAACAGCTGCAAAGCCCGGGGTTCTTTCGCCTGATCCCTAATCCCTAGGTCGGGTTTAGGCTCTTCCCCTTTGGGTTTAGGCTGCTGCCGCTCGCTTGGAGTTGCGGCTCGCCCCTTTCCCTCCCCTAGGTCGGGTTTAGGCCTGCCCCCCCCCTTTGGGCTTAGGACCCTAGGCCCTTGCCCCTTGGGGTTCTTCGGTTTAGGCCCCAGCCCGTGCATGCAGGCTCGTATCGACCGCTTGGAGAGGGTCGTCGAGCAGCTCCAAGGTGAGGTGCAGGTGCTCCGCGAGGCGCTGGGCCTTGATCCCGAGGAGTTCGAGGTAGTTGCTCCGAGTCCGCTTCCTACGCGGCAAGCTTCCTACTCAGGCACTCCCGTTGCGACCCCCACTCGCGCTCGAACCGCCAGCTCTTGGAACGTGGACCCCTTGCAGGCCCCTGTGGCCCCTGCGGCTCCCGTTCGCGGAGAGTCTTCTGTGCCGAGCCTGCCGCGTTCTGAGAGGGACAGCGCTTGCAGGGAGATCGGGCTGTGGATTATTCGGGCCTTGGCTGGGGACCACCGTGGGGCCTCTGGGCGAGACCGCATATCACAGTCTTCGAGGTTCTGGATCGTCTTCAGGGACTTCTCGGGAGGCGACTGCACACCTCCGCGAGCATACTCCACTTTCGCCGCGGCCAAGGCGGAGTGCAAGCGGGGAGCTGATTGTGGGCAAAGCGTTTTCATCGGGCTCCCAGCCCGTGCCGACGTGGAGGCGGTCTGTGCTGCGGCCGGCTTCCCTAGCGTGGTCTTCGTCTGATGGCTGCCGAGGCCGAGGCCGACGGCGAGCCTTTGGAAGTGAAGGACCTGGCTGTGCTTCAGCCGGGCGGGGTCGACGAGGAATTTGTGGCCGGCCTCCTTCCGCTGGCGGTGCCCGCTGACGGGTCGCAAACATGCGAGATTGTGATTGTGAGCGAAGCAGACGGCCGGTTCGTGGTTGCAGTGCCGTCAGCTGTCTGGTCGCGCAAGTTGGCCGGGCGCCGGCTGACCAAGGGTGGGCTTACTCGGGCTTCTCATCTCGAGATCGCTGCGGTGTCGGCGGAGGACCGGCACGTCGTGATGGATGGTGCCTCCGTCAAGGTGTGGGTAGGCCTCCTCGAGGCAGCTCTGGTGCCGCGGCTTTCCTTCGAAAGCGGAGACAACCCCGACGAGGCCTTCGGCCAGGATTCTCATGGCGTCGGCCTGCTGCCTCATGGGCCGTCTCTGGTTCGAGCTGTGCAGGAGCTGCCTGGGCTCACCTCCTACGCGTCAGCGGAGTCTGGCGTTCCCGAGGGCGACGGCGGCGGTGCATTGGACTCTCGAGTCGATCGGCTGGAGGCCGCTATGAGCAAGGTCGCTGCTGGGATGAAGGTTTTGCTGGAGCAGCGCGGGCCTGGGAATGGACAGCCAAGCGCGCAGGCCACTACTACACTGGGCGGTGGCGCTCTTGGGCAGAGGGCCAAAGCCAGGGCTGCACCAGCCGGCGCCGGGCGAGCGGATGCCTTTGTTCATCTGGATGCGAGCGTTGCTCAAGCTGCCCTCGACGCAGGCGTGAGCAGGCAGTCCTTGGCAGAGATGGACCGGTTGGTGGGCGGCTCTGGTGCAAAGCCTCCACGCAACCTCGGCGCTGTACCTTTGGTGGCCGACCCTTTGTCAGAGTCCGAAGGGGATCGAGAGCCGGAGCCGCCGACCACCGCGGACGGGCGGAAGAAGCCGCCTCTCGATCAGGTCGGGGAGGCCTTGGTGCGTCTGACGCAAGTCGTGGAGACACTGGCTGGGCAGAAGAAAAAGACCCCGGCTACTCTGGATGGCTTGCTGGACGCCGCAGGCCCAAGCGCGTCTGGCGGTGCCGACTCCGGGCCCTCTCTGCGGCGCAATGCGGCGGCGAGGCGGGCACTGCGGGCCGCTCTGCAGGACAACCCCTCGCTGCTCTCTGCCACCGTGGAGAACCTGATGAGGGAAGACCTCCACAGCATGCAGACGCCCGGCTTCGAGATCACTCCCAGTGCGAGGGCTTGGCTGGAGCACAGGAGCCGCATAGGATCCCATCAGACCCTGGCCAGGACTTCGTGGGCAGTGGCTGGGGCTTTGGACGCGGCGAGGAGGAAGGCCTTCGAGGAGTGCGAGGCCCGACTCAATGTCCTGATGGTCTGCATGGATCAGGTCGCCACCGACCACGGCAACTGGACTCTTGCCAACGAGCTGACTTTGGAGAGCCCGTGCCCGATCCATGCGTTCAAGGCTCACGAAGCGAGGGACCGCGACAGCGACCAAGTGTGGTCCAGGATCCTAGACGGAAGGTGGGCGGAGGTCGCTCTCCATCACCTTCGGGATCAATCCGACTTCCTGGAAAAACGGGCGCGGCTCAACCGACGGGGCGGCCCGTCCGGAGCAGCGGAGGAGCAGGACCACACCAAGGACGACGGCAAGGACAAGGGCAAAGGAGGAGGCAGGAGGAGGACCGAGGAGAGCAAATGACCGCCCCGGGTCCAGCCAGGGCCGCCCCTGGCTCCGCTGCACCCCCTGTCAATGTGCCCGGCTTCTGGAATTCACTGCCAGCCTGGATTTTGAAAGGCCATGGCGCTTTTGCTGCATACCTTCGCACCACGATTCGCGATGGCAACGTGCCGCCGCACACTTCTCAGATGTGGCCCTGTCCCCCTCCTTACCCCGAGGTCTTCAGGTGCACCGCCGGTGTCCCACTTCGTTGGCGCAGGGTGCAAACTTGCTTAATCGTGATTTTGCTCTCCTGGCTCCACCTTGGGGGCCCTTCGGAATGCCCGGCCTCATGCCGCCTTGGAGGGCGACTCAGCCGAATGCAATGGCGGATGGTCCGAACCATCGAGGGCCTTTCCTGGGACAGTGATTTTTCCGATCCCATCGCCGCCGCCGACATGGGCCGGGCCGCCTCGAAAGTCGAGGACCAGCACAGACTGCTCGGTGCTTTGTCGCGTGCCGCGGCTGCTTTCTCCATGCCAGGTTACACTAGGTTCTCCAGCGCCCTTTTTCAAGGTTTCAAGGCAGCAGGAGCACAGCACGTAACACCTTTGGCGCCTAGGTTTGGCAAAGTTGTGGGAGCCCTCAAGCGTGCCGAGGTGATCGCTGCAAAGACCATCGAGGCTGACCGCCTGACTTTTCCCGGGCCTCCCCGCTTCAATCCTAGCCCCTTTCTCGACTCTCCTACCAGACGGCGCTTTGAGAATCCGTCTTCCTTTGCCGCCGCGCCTGACACAGCCAACCGGCCTCCTCCTCGTGTGCGAGTGCTCGCCTCCCGAGCCCAGCGCCTCGAGCTCTTCCGGAAACTCGCCGAGTCCGGCAGGCTCGCTCCAGTTCGCGTCGCAGCCGAGCGGCTTCCTTATGCTGGGGGGCTGTTCAGCGTGATCAAGGACTTGGCCCGCGACCGGCTGATTCTTGACTGCAGGCCTGCCAACTGCCTCGAAAGCCCACCCTCCAAATGGACCAGTTCCTTGGCTGGGCCTGAGTGTCTGTTGCAGCTTGTGATTCAGCCGAGCGAGTGCATCCGGGTGTCCAGCGCCGACCTGCGTGACTACTTCTACTTGTTTGAAGCCACGCCTGACCGGCTCCAGCGCAACCTCCTTCGGGGCTCCCTCACCAAGGCCGAGGCCCGCTGGGTGTTCGGGCGCGATTGCTCACAGCTTGCGGATCGTGGGCGAGTGCGGGTTGCCATCGCCACGCTTGGGATGGGCGATTGCTCTGCTTGCGAGTACGCTCAGGCTGCTCACATAGGCGTGTTGCGGTACTATGGCTTGCTCTCCGGGGAAGACCTTGTGCTGCCGGGCCGCCCCTTCCCCCGATCCGTGCTCTCGGTGGGCGTTGTGATCGATGACCTTGTGCTGCTCGAGCGCTGTGTCCGGGGCTCGCCTTCTGGCCGCTCTGACTCTCTCGGAGTGCAGAAACTGAACTCGGTCCACGCCGCCTACGAGGCTGCGCTGCTGGAAGCCAACCCGAAGAAAGGTGTCCGGGACGCCGCTGCTGCGACCTTTTGGGGAGCAAAGCTTTGCGGCGACACCGGCCTGCTCCGGCCGAGCCCCTCCCGTGTGTGGCCGCTCGCCTTCATCACAGCCAGGGTTGCCACTTTAGGCTTAGTGACTAGGTCCCTCTTAGAGAGTTTGGTGGGTTCCTGGACGGCCGTCTTCTTGGTGCGCCGGCGCACCTTGTGCCTGCTGGACGTTGCTTTTGAGGCGCTGCGTGCCACCCGTGTTGGCGACGTGATTCGGCTCAGCCCTGCCTTGGCCGACGAGCTTTGGTCTTGGGTGTTGGTTGCTCCGGTCTGTGTGGCCAACTTGCGGGCCCAGGTGTGCGACGTGTTCTTCACCACCGATGCGTCCGACCACAAGATTGCTTGCGCCTCGGCCTTGGTCCCTTCTGCGGTCGCTGAAGAGGCCTACCGGCACACTCTTGTGAAGGGCGCTTGGAGCAGGCTGCTGCCACCGAGCCAAGCCTGGCTGAGAGCCAAAGGTTTTCTTGAGCCCTCTGCCGAGCTGCCCGACGGCAAACCTTACACGCCGTACCCTTTGTGGCGTGCGCTGGCCCGCTCGCTCACCTTCCGGACAGCTTGGGTCGTTCCTGGGGCCCTCGGCCAACACATCAACATCAAGGAGTTGCGGGGGCTTCTGGAGCTCGAGAGGCGGACCGCTCGTGTGATGTCGTCCGCTCGGCTCCTCGTGGGTCTCGACTCGCAGGTCGCTCTGGGTGCTGCGTTGAAAGGCCGGTCGGCTTCTGCTGGACTGAACTCGCTTCTGAAGCGATCGCTCGCCACCATGGTTGGAGGAGACTTGTATCTCGGTCTGGCGTTCTTGGCTTCCGGCGACAACCCGTCCGATGACGGGACTCGCGACCGGGCCGTGCGTGCCCCTAGCGAGCCATTGCCTTCTTGGTTCGGCCGCCTTGCACGGGGAGATCCTGGCCCTCTGCAGGAATGGCTGGCTTTGCAGCCCGAGGTGCGCGCCAGCAAGAGTACCGAGACCTTCGGGCCGGGAACAGTTGATGCTCTGCCTACGGTGGCCTCTGATCCGAAGAGCAGCCCTTGCCATGTGCTGCTGCCGCGGCCTCCGCCGAGCCACTTGGGTCTCAGGTCAGGCCGAGCCCAGCGAGCCCGCCGCAACCGAGCAAGGCGTGCTGCCGAACTCCCAAAGGCGGCGCCGAGGACGCTTCTCCCGAGTCTAGACTGTGCCTCTTCCGCCCTTGCTTTGCTCCAGGGCCTCCCGCGTGACTTCTTTGTGCCTGCTCGCGGCCCTTTGGACTTCACTAGAAAGGGAGCCCTGGACTTGTTCTCTGGCACGGCCGGTGTGGCCCGGTCCCTCGTGCGCCATGGGGCGCCTTGGGTCCTTTGTCTCGACGTGGTGCGCGGGTCAGCTCAGGACCTGGATGACCCTCGCCTCCAGCGTGTGATCGAGGCCTTGATTCGGGCTGCAGTTTTCCTCTCCTTTGGGGCTTCTCCCCCTTGCTCTTCTTTCTCCCGTGCTGTGCACCCGCCGTTCCGAAGCCTTGCTTTCCCTCGAGGCTTGCCCCACTTAGGCGCTGCTGCCTTCGAAAAGGTGACCAGAGGGAACAGGCAAGCTGATTGGACGGCCCATGCTTTGGCCTTGTTTCGTGGCCGCTCTTCGGGCCATTTCTGGTTGGAAGGACCGGATGGCTCTTTCATGTGGAACCTTCCTAGTTACAGTGAGTTTTCTGCTGCCAGTGCAGGTAGCGTGTGCCGGCTCGACCAGTGCCGGTTCGGGACCGCTTGGCGCAAGAGGACGCGGTTTTGCGTCAACGGTGCTCTTGCGGGAGCCCGGTTGCTGTGTCAGTGCAAAGGGTCGCACCTCGTGTTGAGAGGCCGCTCCGCCGAGCACGGCCGTTCCTGGACTTCTGTGGCCCAAGCCTATCCTCGCCTCCTGGCCGAATTCCTTGGGACCTGTGCCGCTGTGCATGCCGGGTGGAGCCGTGCCGCTCCCCGGGTTGGCGGAATCCCTCTTTCTGCCTGCCTTGCCGGCTCTCCTTCCGGCCGCCTTGGTGAAGCTTCTCACCCTGGGCCCCGCCGGCCCCTGCGACCTCGCGACTCCACTTTGGGTTTGGAGGACCGTCCTCTTCAGAGCGCCAATGCGCTCGAACTCGGCCGCCGCGGGTGGGAGCGCTTCCTGCTTTGGGTTGAACCGTCTCTGTCTGAGCCGTGTCTGGTCGTCTTCGCTAGGTGCCCCGCTTTACTCGCCATGGCCCTCCGCGCTTATGGGAACTGGCTCTATAAGTCTGGAGGAAGCATCCACGAGCTTCGGCACACGTTGCTGGGGGCTCAAAGGAGCTTCGCTGGCTTAAAGCCCTGGGCCCCGACTGCTTGGGAACTGGTGTCGCGATGGGAAGCCGCCGAGCCGACAGAGCACCGGATCCCGATCCCTGAGCCCGTGCTGAAGGCGTTGGTGGCACTAGCCTGGTTAGCTGGCTTCAAGCTCTTCGCTGGTGTTACTGTCTTGAGTTTTTACGGACTGGGCCGGATTGGGGAGGTCCTCCCGACTCTTCGGTCGGATCTCCTCCTTCCGAGCGACGACTGGTGGTCCTCAACACGGGCTGCCTTCCTCTGCCTGCGGGCCTCGAAAACGATGCTGCGACGACGCTCTCGCGTGCAGCACATCAAGATCGAGGACCCCAAGGCGGTAGCTTTGCTGGAAGCCGTGTTTCGCGATCTGCCTAAAGGTGATAGGCTTTACCCGCTGACCCCTGGCGCCTACCGGTACCGCTGGAACAAGCTCATGGAGCAGCTGTCGGTTCCAAAACACGCTCGGCTTACCCCTGGGGGACTTCGTGGTGGAGGAGCCGTGTTCTCCTACCGGAGCGGCGTGCCGATTCAGGAGATCCAGTGGCGTATGAGGCTGAAAAACCTTCAGACTTTGGAGTTCTACCTGCAGGAGGTGGGAGCCGTCTCCGCCCTGACTTCCTTGCACGATACTTGTGCCCGGAAGATCAAGGCGGCGGGCTCACTCTATACTCACTTGTGACTTGGCTGGATTTTGCTACCTCTCCCGCACTCGCCAGCGACGCACCACTGTGCACCTTGCGAGCGCGAGCTCGCCTAGTTCGGCTGGCCCTCGAGTATGGTGGAGTACGGCATGTCTGCCTACGGTGGCTATGGCTCTGGTTCGGAGCGCTTCGTCAAGACGCTCCGCTTTTCTGCAGCCGGGGCCGCGGCATAAGCATCGCCGGCTCCTCTTGCCAACTACTTGAGCGGTGCGAAGCAAAAGTGCTTTCTCGGAGAGGCTGATAGGAGGGCTGCAAATAACATGACCGGCATGTTCTTTGCTAACGACGCAAGCTTTTGGGCCCACCCTCCCGCCCGAGTACGGCATGTCTGCCTACGGTGGCTATGGCTCTGGTTCGGAGCGCTTCGTCAAGACGCTCCGCTTTTCTGCAGCCGGGGCCGCGGCATAAGCATCGCCGGCTCCTCTTGCCAACTACTTGAGCGGTGCGAAGCAAAAGTGCTTTCTCGGAGAGGCTGATAGGAGGGCTGCAAATAACATGATTTTGATCCTTGCTCTGGGTTACGTGGTGCTGCAGCTACGGACGTCTCGAGATTTGCCCAAAGGACGGCATTGCAATGGTGCTCTGCCGCGTTTTAGCCTGCATTCAAGGTCTTGTCGTTATCTTGCCTGCTACTTGCAGATGGAGTTAGCATCTTCACGAGTAGACCATGGTGAAGTGCTCCCAGGTAGCCACGGAAGAAGAAGATAACACGTGACGATGTCGATGTTGAGATTCCCCACTGTGTACGTTTGCCATGCCAGGCATATGGACTCCGGAAGATCACCGGAACCACGTACTGGCCGTATGGCACGGGGCGAGACTGGTGTGCTACTGAGCGCTGCTCACTACATGAGATACAAGGGAGGGCACGTCTAGAACGGAGCGATCTGTCGACATCGTCATGTCCAGCATGCATGACACGCAACACAACGCAGTCAGTCAAAACTCAAGGACAGTTTGTTGTGGAGTGTCAGATTGGTGCTTGCTGAAACTGCAGTGAATAGATCCTGCTTAATTTGGATCAACCATGAATGAAGAGTCGGAATGCCACGGCTTTCCCATTCATGGCCTCAGGTTCTTCGTTGGGGACCTGGATTACATGCACGGTCGGCGTACACCGAAGGCCGAACGACTGACCGAGTCATGGAAGGCTGGCTTCGCCAGTGTCCTGCTTCCGCTTGCAGGTCGAAGTGCGGGAGAGGTTTGAGAAGCTGACGCCGCTCTCCCGGGCCTTGAAGTTCAGAGTCAGGGGCGGCGCTGGGAGTTGCAGCTTGAGCTCGGTCCTTTCCGGACATGAAGTCATGGCACGAAGCAGTTCCTGCTTGAGACGTGACTTGGTTTAGGCCCTGCATGTACTCTCCCATGTATCGAACAGCGCAGCTCCAAGCAAGATAATCTCAAGTGAAGCCTTCGATTCAAACGAGGCCTCCGTTGAGGAAAAAGCGAGGCCACCCGCAAGACATGGTGGGCACCTCGGTGCTTCCAAAATCTTAATGGGCCCAGAGAGTGGCTTGAGCCTTCGAGGTTTTCAGCCAGGCTTCTATCCGCAGCATGAGGAGCACCGTGGGCGTGCCCTCTGTTCCAGGCCTGCTCTTCATTTGAAGCGTTGCACCTTGATCAAGACGTCGCCAGGTCCTAAAGTCAAAGGTTCAAGTGCACGTTTGAGGCGTCTTCGGTGGCAAGTCACAGCAGCCCCGGCTGTCCATACAGACATTGGAGCGCTGGAGGACGGGCGGAGGGGTCTCTGAGGCCCAGTCCCGCGACGTCTTGCTGCAAGACCGACTGCTGTGGCGTCTCAGGAGCCTGAATGACGCCACCTTCGGAGATATGACTGGAGGAGGAGAGCTGGAACGATGGAGGCGCCAATCTGCCTGGGCTCGTAATCCGTTTTTTGGTTTTTGGGGGAATGATCGAGTGGTTTCTTGCACAGAATGCGTGCCACAACGAGGTTGGCAGGGGCGGGGTGTGGAGCCGAGGTTGATAAATCAGGATTCTACAGCACCACAAGCTAGCAAGAAAGTTGCATTGGAGAGTTCCGGAAGTGTGTATAGCCCAGAACAATTTTTGAGCCTTCGTGGCCATTTCTGTAAGTGCCATCAGCTGCTACTTGCATCATCTGCTATCATCTCCTGGGGGCGCCAAAAAAAGCGAAAGAAAGCGCCTGGTGCACTGGTTTTTTGTTCACTATGCTCCCAAGATCTCCCAATTTCTACTGCTTGTATGTGCGGTTGTGAGCGTGGTTGTCGCGGTTGTCACGTCATGCATGGGCTAGGCATCAGGAATCGGCGGCCAGGGCAGCTGCTTCGGGCCAAGCGTGCAGTCGTTCAAGAAAGAGCTTGCTTGCAGTCGTTGGTTCGGTTCAACATAGACATCTTTCAGACTTGACGTTCTCAGCCAAAGCTGAGTTCTTGTTTAGGGAAGTGCCAAGGACGACCGGATTCGATCCAGCTGCTCTGCTTCGCTCCATGCGTCCAACAAGCCCAGTCCTCGGGCCTCTCTCACTCCAAGAGTGAATAGCTCGATGCTCTTCTTCAGCTGTCAGCTGTTATCCTGATGCCCCGAGAATCCAACTTCGGGCCTCTCGAGTTGCTGAAGAGTTCCACGGTCGGTTTCCACAGTGTTGGCAAAGGTTCTCGGACATGGCGATTCCGGCGGCCTTGCAGGCGACTTCGTCGGACCCGCTGGTTCAAAAGCATACGGGCCCATCTCAAGAGTAGGTGGAGCACTCTCAGCGTGTTGTTGTCACTCGGCATACACGTATGAGATCCTTTCAGTATAATCGGCTTGACACCGTGTTTATGATCACACTGGTTAGCAAGACTCGTCTTCGCCCTGGCAACTTGAGAGTGGTCGTGCAATTGGGCCATCGGGCCATCGGCGAAAGAGAAGCAGGTCATTTAATTCGTCACGTCCCGAATTTCGAGGGTCTCGCGCCTTTCTCCGGAACCCAGCGTGAAGGAAAGAGGCATAGCTCGGGAGTGCCAATATCCAGTTCAAGTTTGTAATTCAGAATAATCATGAATAACCACTAAATGCTTGTCTACAGCTGACAATAACTAGTACGAACAAGAAGCAAGAATTAGTAAACAACTAACAATAGATATCAGTAACCAGGCACACGTCTTCTCTTCAACTCCCGACTTCTTTCAGGACTTCGGCTCTGGGCAGCGCTTCGACGCAGCTCCTGCAAAGCTGGGAGACAAGCCGCCGGCTCGGCAACTGAACCTTGAACCCCAACTCATACCCAGGAGGATTCGTGGGTGGACGTCGGGTTGCAAACATGTGAATTGTTGAGTGACAATCGAGAGTACTGCACGTTGCTGAGGAAGAGTTTTTAGGCGCATTGTGGTCCAAAGTCACGATGGCAAGCATGTCTGGCAGACCGCAGAAGCTCGTTTTCCGTGAGCTCATGCGGAGGCAGGTCTTTGTCTCATGCACTGAGGTACCGGAGCTTCTCAATGCCGATCCGCGATCCACGAAGGCTGTCGTACTCGGGAGCGACGCTGTCTCTCAAAGGGATTTCGAGTAGGTGATCACTGGGCTTTTCCATGCTTTTCCTGAAGGTTTGACTTCATAGCTGAGCGCTTTCAAGCGGAAGCGGTGTGAGGACGATGCAGTCTCACTTCTAGATTGTTAATGCGCAGACCGCAGTGAGCAGCGAGCCCGTGACTCCTGTTTTCTGAGGACTAGGGAGCAACTGCTAAGATCGTAGATCGTAGTGGGATGCAGCCATTAAAAATGGTTGCATTGCACGCAAAGCATGCGAAAGGACAGCAGTCATCAATCGAGAAAATATTTCACAGGTGTTGTGGCCAAACGAGGTCAAGTATACGTCGTTGTCCGTTTCGCTGTTGTGGCGAGGCGAGGAGTGCCTGCTCTTGCTCACGCATGCTCACGCAAGATTCTGCATGGTTTACGCCTGGCTTGCACGGGTCTTCTCCAGAAATCGTGGGGGCCTGGGTCCGGGTCGGGGCTGCGCGGATGCTCCGCAGCCCGTGCTGCCTGGGTCCTGCGCTGCGTGTCACGCGTGTCTTGTGGTTCCTTGTGTTGTGGGTTATTCGATTATTCCGCCCGCCGCCCCCCTGTGGTTCCTTGTTTTTTGTGGTTTACCCCTCCCCGCTTCCCGCCTCTCCCCCTGTGTTCATCTTTATAAACATCAACGTCGTAGTCCTCGTCATCATCGCCAATATGTTCATCTGCGTGGGGAGGGGGCAATAGGTTCTGCGACAAACGGTTGCAAAGTTGCGAAGATTATGCACCGGTTGCAAAACAAGCGTCAACAGTTACGACAGTTACGCAGATGACGTGTGACGGTTTGCTGGGACGAAAAGTCCGGCTTGTGGCCGGGGGGGCACACCGTGGGGAACGTCGACAACTATGCGGATGATGTGTGATTGTTTGTTGCCTGGCTTGGGACGGGGGCGGGGGGGCAGGCAGCCGCCCTGAGCCTTTCGTCCTTCGTCCCGTGTTTGGTTTGGCGGTTCTGCCCTGGACCCGTCCTTGCAACAAAGCGCTAGCACCACCTCCGGTGAAACAGGTTTCATGGCCGAGCATTAGGGATATCTCACAGCATTGCCCTGCCTGGCTTTTGCTGCCTTACATGGCGCCCAGTTTGCACTTCGCACCCTGACGCGGGGCTTTCAAATTGCACACGATGCTCGGTTTCACACAGCCCCGAGCCCATCGCCGCTTGTAGAAGGGTCGTCGACATTTTTTGCCAGCCACGGTGCATTGCACGGCTTGCTATGCACTCACCAGAAGCATGCTGGGTTTCCTGGGCTGATGCGATTGCCGTTCTCCGTGCGCAGGACGCGCTCTTTGTGCCTGCCCGCTTTGGCCCCTGCGAGGATGCTGACGGGTCACCCGTGGTGGGCTTCCGATGTGTCTGCCAACGATAGCTCTCAGGACCTACTGTGGGTTGACTCACTGCAGCATGGCCCAGCACCAGCCACTGACGCAGTGCTTTGGTTCTCGCGCTTTTCACAGCCGTGCAGCTGCGTGATTGGGCAAAGTATCGAGTGGAATACTCCATTGTGGTGTGCGAGCTTGTATTTCATGGGGTGTTGACGTGACGCCGTGGCCACCCTCGTCTTCATGCGACTCCTGGTGTCATGGCAAGTCTTGTGTTGAATTTTGATCCAACCAACCATTGATCGCAGCATCAATGGACTCAAGTTTGGATACTTGCACGGCGGTGAGGGCCAATGTGTGTAGGCCAAACAGCATCGTCGGCGTCGCAACGACTTCAAAAGAACATAAAAGAACTTCATGCGGCGACATGCTTGTTGACTAGAACACGCCGATGTCCTGGAATTTGCTCCATGCTAGCTGGACTCGATGGTTGAACTCAACCACGTGTCTCTGAGTCAATGAGCCGCACATGTCGGCCCAAATACTTGTGTGTGTGCTTCTAGCATATCTCCACACACCTCCACGAAGAGCGATTTAGTCAATGCCCGAATTGTAGCAAACTTTAGTCTTCGGAAAATTGAGCTGCAACCTTCCTTTTGCCAACCGGTGTACAAGTGACTCCAGCATTAACACTAGTTCCTCCAGCGATTTGGCATATAGCGGTATGTCATCTGCATATCGCATGTTGGTGAGACGGTCCGTTCCACCAACATTCAACCCACGTTCTGCAAGATTGCTTTTCCATCGACAGATTGCGAGTTCAAGGCCGGCGTTGGAAAGCGCCGGATTGAGTGCGTCACCTTGCTGTATGGCAAACTTCTTGGTGATCGGTACAATGCGGCTAGCAAGCTACTGTAACATTGTGGCACACTTTGGTCATGAAGCGCTTTGAACAGCGATGTATGCTTTATTCTGCCTGCGTGGACTGGACCTCCCTCGCAGCTGTGTGGACCCTCCAAAATCATAAACCCTGAAAACCTAGCCCGAAACCCTTAAAACTCTAAACCCTGAAACCTTATAAACCCCAAAAAACCCTACCCTCAAACTCTAAAACCCAGAACACTGAACCCTGTGGCCTCTTCTCATGGGCTGCAGCTGCCAAGCAGCGGAGAAAGTCCTCGGTTGCTTTGGGTCCTCTTAGGGTTCAAAACTGGTGCTATAAGGCTCCTCCACGGAACTCACATGTTTAGAAACACTGGAACCGGCAACCGTAGGCAACGCCAAAACGTTGAGGGATCAAGCACGCTTAAAAAGACAAGAGAAGGATCAAGCATCAAACCTTGACAGCAACATAAAAGCATCTTCAGCAGCAGCTGTGCTCGCGAACAGCCAGCCATCATCAACATTAAATGGATTTACCCATGGCTTGGTGCACCAAATGTCGGAGCATCATCAACATCAGGTGTACGTCTCGCTGGCAGAGTGGAGCAAAGTTGCGAGCATTATCCGTTGGAATTCTGCTTAGCATCTACGGCCAACCGACAGGGGCATGGTGCAAAAACAGCTGCGAGTTTGCGAGCAACTTCAGCATGAGTTGGGCTTGCCTGCGGCATAAAGCAACCACATCGCGAACATGATCAGCTTGGGCTGGGCTTGCAAACAAATGGGAATCATCAGCTTCAAATGCAATACCTCTTGGTGCGGTGCACCGAAGCCGACCGTCGTCAGAATTGCGAGCATCATGAGCATCAGCTTGTCTTTGTCATAGTGTCGCAGTATATCCACATCGCACGAGCTATCAGCGTCAACCGGCAGGAACAAGGCCCCACCAGCATAATCAGCATCAGCTGGATTCCCTGAGCATACAATCTAGTTCCGACCGAGCGGGCACCCAAATGACCAGCACCAGTGGGCTTGTCCTTGCAAGCTATGTTACACCCAAGCCGTGAACATCATCAGCATCAGCTCGATTTGCCTTTGCCAAAGCTCTCGGATGGTGAGCATCATCAGAATCAGCGGACCTTGGTTAACAAAAACACGAGCCTCACGAGCATCAGGCCAGCCTGCCTTTGGCAGTAGGCCCGCAAATGCCGAGCATCATCAGCATCAGCTCGGCTTGCCTTTGTCATGGCATAACTAAAAATCGAGCATCATCAGCATCAGCTCGGCTTGCCTTCGCTATGGCTATGAGTGTCAGCGGGCACCCAGGCACCCAATGCCCAGCATCATCGGCATTAGTGGGCTTGTCGTTGCAAGCCCTGGTGCAGCCAAGCCGTGAACATCATCAGCATCAGCTCGGGGTTGCCGGAGGCCTTGTCCTCGGCACGCCGCTCGGTACACACGAGAATGTTGCTGCCATCCTCGTTGCCAAACGCGAAACACAGCAAAATAAAAAACACACCAACACAGCAACGTCTCCTCACCTGCATCCCTGATGTGCCAGATCTGCATGTTTTAGCTGTTGCTGCATTTTTGCGCCGAGCGCCGGGCTAATCATTCCTGGGCAATGCGCTCCCCGCACTCACAGCCCATTTCGCCGCGAACCCCGACGCCGCTGTTGCGACCTGCCTGGGCTCTCTCGTGCACCGCGGTGATCCAATGCCAGCAGTCGTTATACAGGCTTCGCGGCTGGTTACGCTCGGCAGCTGCTGACCGCCATGCT